CATTAGAAACACCATGATATTAATGCACTCTCTAAAAGCACTTGTACCTGATAAAACTCTTTTGAAATCAATGGCAAAATTCTCATTTACTTTAGTGGGTGAGGATGTAAATCACTAGATTACTTAAAAAGCTACATTTCCTTAGTTCTTGAGTGTTTAAGTGTCTCCTCACAAAAGGTGCACTGCTGGAATCTGGTCAGTGGTTACAGTCTTTTTTTTTTTTTTTTCTTTCTTTCTTTTTCTCATTAAGGTAGTATGTTAAAAAAAACCTGACCCAAATGCATCTTCCAGATCTGCTGGAAAAAGGCAATAAGGGTAGAGGGACCAAGAGATTAGACATCCATCAGCCCCTGTCTCTCATTCCCAAATTTAATATTGATTCTGCTCTTGTTACTGCACAAGGTTGCTGCTTGTCTTTGGGTTGTGAGCTACCTACACCAAATTCAGGACACTTATTTAAAAGTACTTGTTGAAGGTTAGCCTTTGTCAGATGAACTGGGGTGGTTGTGTTGCGTGACTCTGCTGGGAAGTATGGTCTCAGCTCCTGCCTCTGCCACTGACCATCAGACCTCATGTCTACACCAGTTTTAATGAGGTAAAACCCCACACCTTGTGCACTGGAATTTATGGAAATATAACAAGTTAGCAGTGTGATCCATGTGGAATACCTTCTTTTCACTCTGCCTCAAGACACCAGTGGTCATTGCTAGATTGTTTCTCAAGGCTGAATTTTTCCAGCTTTACCTCTGTTTTCACAGTAGTTACTGCAACAGTGCTAACATGAAACCTCTGAATTCAGGGCTGAATTTGCAGATCAGCTGGTGAAAGAAATGTCTTGAGCCTGAAAAATTAGTGATTTTGTAGGCTGTATTATTTTGAAGGATGCTTGAAAGAACTATATATTTTTACTTCCTTTTCTAACCTTTAGAGAGGCAAAGTTTAAGGTCATGCTAAAAATCTCACAAGCCTATGGGAAAAGGTAGCAGAGATCTGTGTTGTCTCACTCATTAACAACAAACATAACAGTAATTTGCACTCAGAGATGCTAGAGCTGAGTGGTTTAAAATACGAATGAGACTAATGGGTTGCAGCTAATAAATGGGGCTGATATGAAAGAACTCCTCAGTGCATTTCAGCACAGCTTTGTGCCAGTGCAGGGCTCACAGCAAACCGCCTAACACCCACACTGCTGCTGGAGCCCCAAAGCACTACCAGCCCCCAGTGTCCCTAACCAGTGCCCCTGAGCTTGACCCCATAGCCCAGGACGCCATGTCAGCCCCCCAGGGCTGTCAGTCCCTGGCCCAGACATACAGGGCTAGTCTCCAGCTTCCTACAGGCCTGCTCTACCAGGCCATGGGTCCCATGGAGCCAGGCCCATGTCTTGGTCCAGCCTTGGCCTGTCCTTGTCCCCATGGAGGTGCCTGTGTCTGTGCTCCCTGGCTGCCCTGCTCCTGGCTGCAATGGTGGGATGACCCCGGCTACCAGACCCTGCTCTGCCGGACCCCCATGAGGACCCCATGGTGCCCTGACAGCTTCCTGTCATCTCAGATCTTTGGAAACCTTAAATGATGCGATTTTTTCCTGAACTGCTTTAAACTCCTTTTCCAAACATCCTGGCTTTTCGAAGGTTTTTTTTGTGAACAGCAGCACTGAAAGCACAGATAATTCCGTTATCCAAAAGAAAACAGGACTGATATGAGACTGAATCCTCCTTTGTGCATTAACTTGTGTTAGAGCTATGTTATTATTACGTGACAGAGATACGATCTAATGGATTGGGGCATTCATTGGATACTAGGGGATGCAGCTGCCATTTTTGACTGCCTGGCTGAAATGGCTGCTGGCAGACACCTCACTTCCTTGCAGCTTAGTTCTCTCTCCTGTAACAACAAGGATATTATTTCCATGCACCTCTTTCTACCTTCCTGAGTTCTGTGGATGTAAAACATTAAACTTGTGAAACAAAGCAGGTATGTATTAAGAACAGTGCAAGTTCTCTGTAAACCACTGAAATAGATCAGTAACTATCCTGCACCTTTAGACCAAAGTAGCTCACAAAGCAAAGAAAATCCTTAATTAACAGATAGAACTGAGACACAGTCATGAAATACCATTTCTCATTCTACACTAAGTAGGCAATAAAACCAAGAATATCACCTGTATTTTCTAAGTTCTGGACTAGTCCTTTCCATCAACAGTTCTTTAAGCTGCTTCTATCACACGCAATATTCCTCTGCCTTCCACTCACCATGCCACTTGGGAGTCCCAGGTGGGTGGCAAATCATCCTAGAATTCTTTCATTAAGAAAATAGATCTCCCAGCACTTTGTTTTCTCAATTCAGAAGAATAAAGGAATCTTTGCTGTACACTACAGACACACATTGTTCTTCCCAAATTGATCTTTGCTTAAAAAAGCTCTGTCTGTAACTGTGCTGCATTTCACATGCAAATATATTGTATTCCTTTTACTTGTTCATACTTTAATTGGAGAACAGCAGGTGATCAAAATCACAGTAGTAAGAAAGGTGTATTTTTGTCGAACAGATGAGACTGCTATTTAAATCCATACAGGGGTGCTTTTAGCTTTCTCTATTAAACAGACTTGCATCTTGCAAATCTTATTGCTATAAAACCAAAGCAGAGCCTTATCCTCCTTACGAGTTCCCTCAACCACACACATATGAGAAGAAATCTTAGGCCAGTTTCCTGTCTTGTTTCTTCACACTTGGTCTAATTTTTCTTTCTATCAAAGCCATATCACAAGAAGGGATATAAATAAGGGAAAACATCTGTTTTCCTTTCACTAAATAATTATGCTTTTATAATTTATTATCAGTAATGGCACACAATTGTTGTCCAGGTTTAAAGAAACGGATATAAAATGCAATAAAGGTAATTAAGTAACAGATACAAAATGAGTAAGACATTTAAGCATGGAAATGCTTTTTAATAAATAAGAAAACTATATTTACTAGCTGGTTATGTTTTAGACATATATTTGTAACCAGGTAATATCTCCTTCTGAATAGTTGCCTGTGATTTGTCTTTCTGGAGTCCAAATCTTCATCCTTTCTAAGTCTCTATAAGCACAAAACCTGGTGATAAGATCTCTCTCTCTGACAAATCTTCAGCCAGGCTTGCAAAACCACATAGGAATGAATAGAGATGGCAAAAGTAGAGAACACAGTAAAAGATGAGGTTTCCTTTGTGTTCTCTCTCTCTCTCTCTTTTTCTTTTTTTTTTTTTTAAAAAAATTATCATTTTGCTAGGATTTTCCACTCCTTTTCTAAATATATATCCACACATCTATCAAATGTGCGCCTATTACATGACTTTTTAACCTTTAAAATGTATATTAATACCAAAAATTCCTAACAAACTGCCAGAGGCTGTCAGGAAGCAGATGATCCCAGTATTAATTGCTACTAACAAATACCGTAAGTTGTAAGTCCTGCACATGATTGTTTAAATATGAGAAAATTTCCATCTAATACCTTTACAGGCAGAAGTCTGGATAAACATGCATATCTGTCTTGCCTTGTAGGTCAGCTCATTTGTATTCTGACTGAGCAGAAGGGAATGAACATTAGTCATTGCCACAGATATTTTTGCTTTTCCTAAAAATCAGTAATCAGGGAAAGCTCTATCTTCAACCGTTCTAGGTAAACTTTAGCCCTGAACAAGGATTATATTTATGTCAGCATTGCCCGGATACTTTATTAGCACGATTAAATCAATATGATAGGTTTCCTGAAGTACTATGAAACACAACTACTTACAGCTAAAGCATGTTTAGGGTTACTTGGTTTAGATCATTTGTGAAACAGATTACAGAGAGAACTAGTTTTTATAGTGTAAGCTTGAATTAGTAAGCAAGGATGTTTTCTTTACCTCTTAAGTATTTTCTGGGAAAATCTTGTACACATCATTGCTCTGAAGCATAGATTTAAACAAATACCATTCAGAGCAGTTTTGGTTCATTACCCTGTGCTAATTAATGTGTTTTAAGTGTGACTATGTATCATACATTAACATTTGAACATATTATTATTTTTAAATCATATTTGACTGAGAAATAGTCATTTCAAGGACATTGTATTCCTGCAAGTTTTATGAAAATAGAAAATCTGAATGAGGACAAAGAAAGGAGAGCTACAAAGCTTATCTAATACAAGTAGGTAATCTATATAGGAGAGGAACACCAGAAGCCAGACTTCATATATTGTGGATAACTGCTTTAGGGACTACCTACCTTGTCCATGGTTGGGTGGAAGGCTGGATGTGAATTCTTACCTGGTGTGGCCTTTAATATTTATTTATAATTTCTTCTTTGTATTAATGTAAATTCATTTAGTGACATCAAGGGCATCATGGAATATCATTAAGAAGCTGATGCATTTTAAATTCAGTAAATGTTTCCTAATTTTATTTGGCTGTGTCTGAAAAAGAAAAATTGGATCTTATTCCTCCATTTACCTGTTTACATATACCGTTTCTACAGAAGAATTTATATTTCTCAAACATAAAATATGGAGATCTTATTTAATCTTAATCATAATGAATCACAAACTCTTTTAGTTGTTTTTGAAGATATCTCTAGCTGAAAATATCACTTGGAGTAATAGTCTGCCAGGAACCTTATGAAGTTCAACAAGAAGTGCAATGTCCTGCAACTGGGGAGGGGTAACCTCGTGCACCAGTACCTGCTGGGGTCCAACCAGCTGGAAAGGAGCATAGAAGAAAAGGACCTGGGTGTCCTGGGAGACACCAATTTGAAGATGAACCAAAATTGAGCAAGCTTTTTTCAGTTTCATGCCAGCTTTGGTCTCCCATGTTTCATTGGGAAAAGTGTTGCCGGCATATAGAGGGAGGTGAGTGATCCTTCCCCTTTATTCACTGGTGGTGATGCCACAGCCACACAACTTTCTTAACCCTTCACTGGGGACCAATGAGATTTCTTTGGCTCTGTCTTCTTTACTTCCCACCTATCAGGTACTTACACATATTGATAAGATTCCCATGAGTCTCTTCTTCTCCAGGCTGAACAGACACAGTCAGATGGTCCAGTCCCTTCATCGTTTCATTGTCCTTCGCTGGATTTGCACAAGTGTGTCCATGTCTCCATTGTACTGGGGGCCCAGAATAAGACAATTCACACTACAGAACTCCTTCACAAAATATCATGATTACAAACTAAATCCTGGATGTTTTAAATTGCAGATGATAGTTTCAGCCAGTTTATGTATCAATAAAAGATATTGCAACTGTCAGAAACAAAAGATTTCAAAATTATACTGGCATTTCTATTCTTAGAATAATTATCAAAAATCCTTGAGGAAAGAGCATGGACTAAATGAGGTCTTTTTACATCCCTTCTTTTTCTTATATTTTTAAGTAGGAATCAAGATAGCTTTTTTTGTGTGTGGGGGCTTCTTGTTAATTTTGGAAACAGTTGAAAAAAATTTCATCCCTCATTAAAGAATACTGATTATTTTTATGTCTGTAGATATTTTTGTAATTCAGCTTTATTTCATACTTTAATAATGACTAGAGACCAGAAAGTACTAAGGAACAGATATATCAGAGATTATGAATCAAAACACTAGCCTAATCTGTTATAACAAGGAGAGAAATCTAAGTATCTTTCTGGATATTCATACAGTTAGAAAAACAGTTGCAGCAATGTAGAACTTGATTCTGCTGCATTTTTTCCCCACATTTATGTAACAGTTTCCTTCCAGGCTACATAGTTTTTCCCCCCATTTTCCTTACAAATCTTCAGAATTATAATATCAGTGCAGGATGTCCCTGAGATTAAAACTGCATTGAAAGGAGGTATAGCAGAGCACAATCATGTTTTAAATGTTTTATTTATAGTATTTATGTGCTCTACAAAATATTTCCTATGTTGAATATGAACTTAAGTTTGATCTCATTATTCCTGATGAGGTATACCACGAACATTTGTAAAGTATCTGGACAAATGCCATTTGGTCAGAAGTCATGAGATGGCGAATGTACTTAATAGCTTGAATTACAGAAATGGAACTGCATTTAGTACCTGGAACTACAGAAATGGCAAAGCATGCTAAGTTTAACCCATGGAAGTGTAATGGAGTGGTGGGAGCCAGCCGCTCTTTGTCTCCTTCAGTGCTGTTAGCTTTCCTCTCTAAAGAGAGTTGTTTTCACTGGGTGAGTGTTGAATTTAGACTGTGTGGGTTTTGGATTGGGCCATGAAGGAGATAAAGTCAAGGCTTCTGGAGTATGACCGTTATCAGGATGCTTATAAAGACTTCAGTCAGCATAATAATATTGGATTCCACATCATGCAAACAGGACAGGAGGTTTTTTTGAAACCTTAGCCATCTGCACTATCTCACAGGAGTCAGTGGGACTACTCATAACTTGTCTGTAAGTGCAGGTTGCTATCAGTGTGAAGAGAGCACTTCCTTTTTCCTGCTCCAGTATCTCAGATTGTATGAAGCAGTTTCCTGCAGCCAAGGCATGCTAGGGAATTGCTTTGGACACCAAAGCAAAGTCTTACAAAGCCTATTGGAGTCTTACTCTTGCACTTCATCTTCCATGTCTGTTCTACTGAGAGAGGCAGCAAATAGCAGGGGGGTCATTGAGGAAGTGATGCTAAGAATCTACTCCCTGGATAGACAAAGGAAAGGCTTGCCTGTCACCACACAGTTGTTAAGAGTATGAAAGGCATGTTTAGTGTGGTGGAGGAAAGATGGGGAAACATGTTATTCACAGTTTTTATCTTTCATATAAAAAGTGTTTTCCTGTTCTTTCAACTTGGGGTCAAGGACATTTTTCTACCATACCTCACTTTTTTTCCCTGTAAAAAAGGTAAAAGAGAACTTTCATTGTAATCAACATTTTTTTTCTTTACAGATCTCAGTGAGGTATTGTTATCTTGCAGGTGCAGAACTGTGGAGTAGAAGGCCTGGGTGACTTGTTCCTGGCCACCTACTTGTTCACGAAGGAATAAAACCCAACTTTTTTGTGTATTGATGCAGTGTCATGCCATACTTCATTGCTATTGTATCATGCCATACTTCCCTTATTCACTTGACAAGTAGATTCTGACAGAGTTCTTTGAAAATTGACATAATACATTATACAAAATTCAGAAAGTATGAAGTATTTTAGTGTGGGACTGAGGAACATAAGAAACAATATGTTTTCTTTTATTGCTTTCCTCTTGCTACTGAGTTCCTCCATCACCTATCACATATCACATATGACAAGTCATATCTCCCATCCATTCCCATTTACTATCTACATGGTCCACAATAAAACAAAATAGTCAGCAGTGCTTGCAAAGTCATGTTGAAATGGGGGCCTGGGGAGCAGGTTAAGCAGCCCAGGGCATATGTCTTGCTAAATACTATGCTTACTCTGTAACTTCCCCTTAATTTATCTTCCCTAACTTCTTGCACATTCCTCTTTTACACTGTTACTCAATTCCTTAGCATCTAAGTAATTTATAGTAGAGAATAGAACTGTGGATGGAAACAAATCTGCAAATTAGGTGTGACCTAATCCTCTCAACCCTTAATTGCAGGTGAAGGACTGGACAATCTTTTCTGTTCTGTCATCTCTTTCATGCTTACATAGAGAACAGGCTGACAGGAGGTATGTAACATTCCTTTCATTTTTTGTGTGGTTCCTCTAATAAACAGATAAGCAAAATGCATCTTTTGGATTGACATGTGTGAAGCTGAAATTTTGTAAGAAGGGTGGGACCTCTTTATTTCATTTGCATATATTTACCCTTGGAACAGAAGTCATTTATATGGATTTCCAGGAGGACTGTATAGGTTATCCAAAGACCATCTTTCAAAGGCAGCTCTCATAAAATATGCATGCAAAACATGCCTGTGCTGTCACAAGCAGGTAATTTCACATGCAAAAATATGCTGTTGTAGGCTATGAAAAACAAGCTGTCATTCATGCAAGTAGTGGTTTACTTGTGCAGTTAATATTTACAAATTCAGCTAGGAACAGAGACCTGCAGGACACCATCTGGGTCATCAGGTCCAGTTGCCATAAGTGCAGTCAATCGATGTATAGTCCAGATGACTTCATAAAACATCTATTTGGTGCACTCAGCATGCCACAGAACTGGTAACCTCTAAGATAAAATATCAAACGACATAAAAGACTGTGATGGTCCACACAAAAAGAAGAAGGTGAGGTAAAATTTCTCTGTCCACCCAGCACCCTGCCAAAACCCCTGGGAGGTCCCACCACTGTTTCTTTGAGTGGATTACTCAAAGCTCCCCCTCCGTGGGGATTTTTGGTTTGGTTTGTTGTTTTGGTGTAGTTGGGAACTGTCAGTGTTAGGTTAATGGTTGGACTGTATGATCTTCAAGGTCTTTTCCAACCTAGACAATTCTGTGATTGTGAAGGATATCACCAGTGTCCTAGATTCTTCCACTGTGGTTCCGTGAATAAACATATGGTCCTAGAAACCTCACTTTCTAGGGAAAGGCTGTCAGATTTCTTTCCTTGGAGATTCAACATCAGACTAGACAAGACCCTGGTCAGTTTGATCTGGCTGGCCCTGATGTAAGCTGCAGGTTGGACTGGATGACCACAAGAGGCCCCTTCCAACCTAAGCTGCTTTTACTATACTATGGTTCTTTTCTTGTTTTCAACTGCAGAATTTCCATCTGAAGTGCTCCCATGCTTTAATTCACTGTGTGCCAAGAATTATTTCAACTGTTGACATCCTTGCTGAGTTTGGGATTCCTGTTGTCTTTGATTTTTGAGCATTACTCTAAGACCCACAGTTAAGAGTGAAATAAATGAGCACACAACAAGAATAAATGTTAATGTTTTCATTAGGTCATGAAAAAAGGCACTTCTGACTTACTATGTATTAAACACATCAGCCTGGCTCTGGGGTAATGAGAAAAATGCACGGGTGAAAGTCTTGAGGGAAGGATGAGCTCTCTTATGTAGTGTAACACTGTAATACTGTATATTGCTGAAATCTGGGGGAACATCTGTAGGATTTTGAATTTGATGTCTGTTCTGTTTGCTTGAAGGACAGTGTACATGCTCTAGATAGGAAATATAGTTGTGGGGGATCTTGACATCAATTTCAACTTCTCATTGAAATCAGTGGTTAAAGTTTGAATTTAGTAGAGCTGGATTAGGCACTTAGCTGTGGAATTAATTAGGGAAGTTTTCTTGCCCTTGTGTAAGCCTAGAAGAGATCTGGTCAGCTAAACCCAGCACAATGCTCTAAAGAATGATCCCATTCGTCATAAGAGCAGACAGGTCCTCTCCATCAGTGAACATTTGTGCTGATAGTGTAATTCCAACTGAGCTCAGCAGAAAAGCAAGCACCCACATCTAGCTGATTTAATTTGGTAGAGCATAATTAATTAAAGTAGTATCTGTGATCTGTTAATTAAAAGAATGAAATCTGAAATTAGATTTTTGGTAAAACAGAAAATGTGGACTTGGCAAAAGTTTTGAAACTCACATAAGGCTTCTGATAAATTCGCATTGGATATGCAGTTATTTGGGGGGTGGGGAGAGGTTAAAAGAGGGTCTTTTATCTCCCCCACAAAACCATCTGTGAGCCTTTTTTTATCTGACAGGCAGTAGAAGAGGAGGAGATGTGTAGGAAAAATTAAATGTTCACATTGTTCAGGAAGAAGAAAGGCATGTGTCTTAGAAGCTCTCTTATCCAAACTTCTGCTTTCCTAAAAGCCCTATAAGCCGTATTTAGGTTGTGTCCTCTGAAGTGCATCATTTGCCTTAAGGAACTTTTTTTAGCAGAGATCTCAGCGTGTCCAATTACAGTCTGAGGGCCTGAACCAAATATCACTGAATTCAGTATCTCCACATTCCATCTCAGTGATTGTAAATGAGGGGGTGGATGTCTACTCTGCAAAGCCATAAAAATATTCTCCCTTTTCAGGCACATGTAACTAAAAAAATCCCTGATATGTAAACAAGCATTAACAACCTATTGAGAAAATAGTGTTGAAATACAAAGCACCACTCAACATGTTAAATCATGCATTTATCCAGAGAATTTGTCACATCACCCAGTTTAGCTTATAGATACTTTCAGAAGTCCTTTAGATATCTATTTGTTGTG